CGCCGCAGGTAGTTTGCGCACGGGGCCGCGCAACTCTGGAGCAGGAGCCAAGCGGCTTGCGGATCGTCAAGCAAGGGAATGCGGTCCAGAAGCCGGTCTTGGTCAGTGCGTTTGCGCTGCAGCTGGCGCGCAATGAACGCATCGTGCCCAAGCGGCGAACCGAGCACGTTGAGCCCCTGGCAGTCAGGAGGGAGACAGCGGTTGCCGACCCATACAGGCTCGCTGCCATCGGCAGCGAGGTCAGCAGTGTTCGGCGGTTCTTCGCCGGCGGCATTCCAAATGCGGGTTTTGCCCACATGAAGGCAAATCCGAGCTCGGTTCCAGAGCGCTGCGGCGAGCAGGTCGTAGAGGGCGCGAACGCGCTCAGGCAGGGCGACGATGTAAACATCGTCGAGGAAGGCGAAAACAGCTTCTCCATCGAGGAGTTGGCCTGCAGTCGTTGAGGGCCTCGTGTTGAGCTAAAGCGTACAGGGCGGGCATCAGTGGGTCCCCTTGCTCCCCGCCCTCACCTTGCAGCACTTCGTGGGCGTGACCATCGTCATCAAACCACGTGTAAGTACTTGGCCTGGCATAAAACCGCCGGGCAAACGGGAGGAGAGGCTGGAGCGCTGCATTACCAAGCAGGGCGTCGAGCATGGAGCCGCGAGCCACGTGATCGAAGGCTCCAACGGCATCGACGGAAAGGACAGTGGCTCGGGGGCTCGCCTCGGTGGCAGCACGGAGCAGTCGGCTCACCGCCTCAGTGCCGACGCGCGTGCTGAGGCCATACTGGTATGGCATACGCGCGGCGCGGAGGTGTGGCGCAAAGTGTTGCGCTAGCACCCGGCCAACAAGTCGCCGCAGAACGTCACCAAGGAGGATGCGGAGGTGCTCATTGGTGGTACCCGAGGGTCCTGCAGCAGCGCGCGCGCCGGGCGCTGCGGAAGCCGTCAAGAAAGGGCTGCTGGGGGAAGGGGCATGGTTGGTCAGGAAGGAACCTGAGCGTCGCTTCGGCGAATGGCGCATACGGTGACTCGCAGGAATGCAGCAGCAGCAGCAGCAGCAGCAGCAAAGATGCAGCAGCAGCAGCCACACGACTTGCAAGTCGGAGCAAGGGTGGGGCGGGGTAACAGCACCGGAATTCCAATCATGGGCTTCGCCAGCATGGAGCCTGATGTGCAATGAGCCGCTGCGCGAGAAGACGATTAGGCTGTCCAAGATGGCCCAAGAAAGTGCACGGATCGCTCCACAAGACCCAGGGCGAACCCACCGCCCTCGGCCTGTTGCACGAGGTAGGCGACGCAGGAGAAGAGGAAGGGCCCTCATAGACAGACCACATCCATGTCCGGGCAGTGTCCTACCGGGTCCGAAGGATTTGGAAAGCACCGGCTGAGGAGTCTCCTGACATCTCCGTTTGCGTGCAAAGCTTTCGCACACACCAGCTGCATAGCAGCTCCATGGAACCACCTTACGAGAGGCTGCGCAAACAGCTGCCCCAGATACCCCCGCTCCACGCCGGCCATTTGATGATGTTTTTTCTGGCAGGCCTAACGGCTTCGTGCCGGTCTCGGATGTGGCGGGTGAGGGAAGCGACACGCCGGCTTCCAAACGGCGCCGGGGAGTCCCGTGCGACTGGAAATGCGCAAGTCCGCGATTGGGGAAAGAAGTTGCTTCGCTCGCACGTCGTCCTTGCCGGTGGCGGCAGCGCGAAGCAAAACCTCAGCTAGAAAAACGTGTTTTTCGGCATGGATTTGGCCTTTACATGCCTTAATCAACTTTCTGGCAGCCTTGGCAAGTTTTCCAAGCGGCAATCAGCCCTCCCCAACCTGCAACCCCTCCCTCTTCGCCCTTGACCCCTCCCCTGCCCTGCCCCAGCCGCAGCCAAGCTTAAGGAAAAGCCTTTGTTGAGGCATGTTCGGCAAAGGAAAAGCCAAGCGAGCCCCAGCATTGCTTCAGCACACAGCTGCCCCAGCATGGTCGTGTCTTTAGTTGGGCATGCTTAGGGTGGCTGTGCAAAGGCGCTCGCTGCGCCACGACAGCGAAGATGGCTACTCCAGCGGAGCAATCAAGAGCAGAGCGAGGCAAGGGATGCGGCAGGCGTGCCCGAGGCACGGGTGCAGGACCGCAAGACGGAGGAATGATCGACGCCTTCCGGGGCCCGCGGCCACCGGCCTCAAGGCCAAACACAACGAGGCGGCACATGGCGGCACCCTCCGGCTGCCGGACATGTTTGCGCCTCGTTGCCTTTCGGATCTCAGCGCCCGGGCAGTCCATGTCACGTTGCTGGGCTACCCAGGGTGGCATCCGCAGCCAACCTGTGCCATGCCAAAGCGGCAGGCCGCGGGTCCTGCAGAGGGTGTTGGTACCTAGGATCATCAAACACAGCGTCCATGATTTGATCTGTGAGACGAGGCGGCGAAACGTGTCGCCAGCAGCCACGTCTCGCACTGGTGCTGCCCCGCGTGGACTCGCGAAGGCAACAGACCACATAAACAGCAGCCGGGTCGGTGCTGCAAAGCCAGGAAGAAGCTGTGTCGGCATAAGCAGCTGGCCCGGGACAGTGCTTTGCCGAACCTTACCGCGTACCACATCTTGCGCAGCAGCCGCCTCGGCATCCACCATGTCCAGCTTCAAATTTAGCATGCTTTATCGGCAGTTTCTGCGTTCCCTTGCTCTTGCGAAGACACACCCGTCGCATTCCACCGCAAGCATACACAAACACCTCGGGCGCAATGTGGGCTTCGTCGGAAAGGGGCGCGCAGGAAAATTTCAGGCACGCATCGCAAGTCCAGCGCATACTCACTCGATCCGAGGCTTGGCGAATCTGAAAAGGGAATCGATTGTCTGGAGGATTGCGTTCGGGTGAAACCTCTTGCAAACGGCGATACGGCAGAGGGATGATCCGGTGTTTCGTCACTGTGTCCTCTGCGCAAAGGCAGCGAAACAGTGACGCAGAGCTCAAAAGAACAACACTGAAGCCGCCTTATGTCTGACAATACGAGTACGGGAGGAACCGACAAGCCTAACGAAACCCAGATCTCCCAGTGCCAGCCAAGCTTCCGGGTTCAGTGCAGGTCCTGCAGCAGCCCCCAAGAAGAGCACGAAACTACTAGAGTCACTAGAGCTGTGGTCAACACTCTTCAGGTTCAACTGCAGATGAACACAGGTCACAGAGCAGCTACGGAGCATGCACCAGTTATGGAAACCACTATGAAAGCCGAGGCCTGGAGTGCTTTGCTCGTCTAAAGACTATGGGAGTAAGTAACCTACTCGCAAGCTGAAATACGTTGACTCAAGATGCTCGCACACTGAGGCAGGCTAAAATGAATCACGCAAAGACACAGACACAGACACACACA